TCTTACATCTTCACGTCACCGTCCTGGAATGAATAACATTTTAACAACTAATAAATTAAATACTCTGGGCAGTAATATTATATAATATGTATACAGTACTGTACAGTATTATATTATACAGGAACTCATTAAATCTTCAAACATTTAAATACAATATTATGGTTAAATTAAGAAATTTCCATAACACTTATTAAAGAAAATAAAGAAACATTTTAGAAAATCTTACCTCGACGAATGACACGAGGAACTTCATTAACCACGATCAGCGAGGCAGCAATATGGTAGTTGTCTTAACACCACAGTAACAACCAATTGGAGCCGTAAACTGTAAACAAAATAACCCTGTTACTCTTTTTGTAGAAACTCAGATAATTTTTTGTTCCAACATGTTGGAGACGAAACAACCTTGTAAAGGATTGCCAACACGGTTTTATGCCGGGGCACTCCTGCTTAACACAATTGCTCAAGGTATTGGATATTTGGAGCCATATTCTGGATGGGGTGGTAATATAAACAATATTTACCTAGATTTTGCCAAGGCTTTCGACAGTGTACCCCAAGAAAGGCTGGAAATCAAACTGGAAGGGTACGGGATTCGGGGAAATGTCCTAGCGTGGATAGAAGACTTTCTCCATGACCGCAAGCAGTGTGTGGTGATTAATGGCACGAAATCGTCATCTGTACCTGTCACAAGCGGGGTACCACAGGGCAGTGTATTGGGCCCGCTGTTGTTTGTTTGTTTCATAATGACATGCCTGACGTTGTACACTCCTCCATACAAATGTTTGCCGATGACGCCAAGTTATTTCTGGAAACCAAGAACCAAGCAGACTGTGAAGAGCTGCAGAAGGATCACAAGTTAACTCTGGTCAACAACTTTCTTAATACCACTTACTAGTCACTAATGGATAACACCTGGTAAATTCACAAGTTATATCCCACTGCCATAAGGGTTTAATTATCTATGAACGTCGATATTGTGAAGCGTCTTGTGATTTTTCCTTTCCCAGAGAATTAAAATACCATCGAAGACATGATTTGGTTAGATTAGGATCCCACCAAATAGTGACAAAAATAATAACCTGAAATTTTACAGTAAAGTTCCCAAAATGTCTCAAAAGCTAATTTTTTACTGCAAACTGTAATTTAACCATAAATAAAAAGTACCACATTCTTATAACCAATTTCTTTAACTTAAATTAAATAAAAAAAGAACCAAATACTTCCTCAAAATTTTTTTACTTCAATTAAATAAAAGAATCTTTCCCAAAATAAAAATGACCCAAAATCCCACCTTGGTTAATATATAGGACTAACCCGCCATAGTGCCGATGCTGCTGTATCATCTCACGTCCAGAAAATGTCTCAAATATCACCATATAGTAAGTTTTATCTGTTTAATATACCCGGGAAGTTAGGTTAGGTAGGTTTGTTTGGTTAGGTCTGTCCTTCATAACCACAAATGTTAAGTAGAGTTTATTTAAAAAAAACATCCATTTTAGTAACATTACCACAAACAGTGTCCACTATAATATAACAATGAAAATCTGATGTTTTTACAATAGTTCTCAAAATGTACTATAAGTAATATTTCACATAGTGTGTTGTGTTACACCAGGTGGAGAGGTGAGAGGCAGCCATTCACTACCACCAACTATTGCTGTCTCAAGTTTGTAAGTCATATTAACTATACTGTACAATATTATATTTCCATCAATGAGTTCTGATATAATAATAATTTTTAGGGTAATTGCTTCGTTTGGTAGATAATTAGGTGACTAGTCGAGAACTACTTTGTCTGGCGCACATCACTTGTCTTTCTCGGTGGTGATGCGGCGGTACACAGCCAATCATCTCCACTCAACGCCAGTCACCAGTGTAGGTTTATGAGCCACACAGATCAGGCGGCTGCTCTCAGGTCCACAAAAAACGTCAAATTACACCATATAATAGGAAATTCTTTCTGTTAAATATGCCGGGGGTTCCGGAAGGTTAGGTTAGGTTAGGTTAGGTTAGGTTAGGTTAGGTTAGGTCAGGTTTGTTTGGTTAGGATGGCAAGGTCTTCTAACAATGCTTCTGCCACTTGCATTTGTTATCAAATATGGTTAGGTTAGGTTAGGCTATGTCACGTTTAATTTAGAAATAACCAAGTTTTAACACATTTTACATAACTGGGACAGTGTTCACTACAAAACAGTGAAATTAAAACGTTTTTAAATTTGTTTAATATTGAGCTGGTGTTAAGTGTTGCAGTAGTGGGTGTTGCTTCTGGTAACATGTGTTGGTGGTGACTCAGTGACTCTCAGCTGGTGTTAAGTGTTGCAGTAGTGGGTGTTCTGGTAACATGTGTTGGTGGTGACTCAGTGACTCTCAGCTGGTGTTAAATGTTGCAGTAGTAGGTGTTGGCTACCAGTAGCATGTATTGGTGGTGACTCAGTGACTCTCAGCTGGTGTTAAGTGTTGCAGTAGTGGGTGTGTTGCTTCTGGTAACATGTTGGTGGTGACTCAGTGACTCAGCTGGTGTTAAGTGTTGCAGTAGTGGGTGTTGCTTCTGGTAACATGTGTTGGTGACTCAGTGACTCTCAGCTGGTGTTAAGTGTTGCAGTAGTGGGTGTTGCTTCTGGTAACATGTGTTGGTGGTGACTCAGTGACTCTCAGCTGGTGTTAAGTGTTGCAGTAGTGGGTGTTGCTACTGGTAACATGTGTTGGTGGTGACTCAGTGACTCTCAGCGGGTGTTAAGTGTTGCAGTAGTGGGTGTTGCTTCTGGTAACATGTGTTGGTGGTGACTCAGTGACTCTCAGCTGGTGTTAAGTGTTGCAGTAGTGGGTGTTGCTTCTGGTAAAATGTGTTGGTGGTGCCTAAGTGACTCTCAGCTGGTGTTAAGTGTTGCAGTAGTGGGTGTTGCTTCTGGTAAAATGTGTTGGTGGTGACTCAGTGACTCTCAGCTGGTGTTAAGTGTTGCAGTAGTGGGTGTTGCTTCTGGTAACATGTGTTGGTGGTGACTCAGTGACTCTCAGCGGGTGTTAAGTGTTGCAGTAGTGGGTGTTGCTTCTGGTAACATGTGTTGGTGGTGACTCAGCTGGTGTTAAGTGTTGCAGTAGTGGTTGTTGCTTCTGGTAACATGTGTTGGTGGTGACTCAGTGACTCTCAGCGGGTGTTAAGTGTTGCAGTAGTGGGTGTTGCTTCTGGTAACATGTGTTGGTGGTGACTCAGCTGGTGTTAAGTGTTGCAGTAGTGGTTGTTGCTTCTGGTAACATGTGTTGGTGGTGACTCAGTGACTCTCAGCGGGTGTTAAGTGTTGCAGTAGTGGGTGTTGCTTCTGGTAACATGTGTTGGTGGTGACTCAGCTGGTGTTAAGTGTTGCAGTAGTGGTTGTTGCTTCTGGTAACATGTGTTGGTGGTGACTCAGTGACTCTCAGCGGGTGTTAAGTGTTGCAGTAGTGGGTGTTGCTTCTGGTAACATGTGTTGGTGGTGACTCAGCTGGTGTTAAGTGTTGCAGTAGTGGTTGTTGCTTCTGGTAACATGTGTTGGTGGTGACTCAGTGACTCTCAGCGGGTGTTAAGTGTTGCAGTAGTGGGTGTTGCTTCTGGTAACATGTGTTGGTGGTGACTCAGTGACTCTCAGCTGGTGTTAAGTGTTGCAGTAGTGGGTGTTGCTTCTGGTAACACGTGTTGAGTGGTGACTCAGTGACTCTCAGCTGGTGTTAAAGTTGCAGTAGTGGGTGTTGCTTCTGGTAACACGTGTTGGTGGCTCGTGACCCTCAGCTGGTGTAGAATCAATTTGCAGTAGTGGGTGTTGCTTCTGGTAACATGTGTTGGTGGTGACTCAGTGACTCTCAGCGGGTGTTAAGTGTTGCAGTAGTGGGTGTTGCTTCTGGTAACATGTGTTGGTGGTGACTCAGCTGGTGTTAAGTGTTGCAGTAGTGGGTGTTGCTTCTGGTAACATGTGTTGGTGGTGACTCTGCTGGTGTTAGTGGGTGTTGCTTCTGGTAACATGTGTTGGTGGTGACTCAGCTGGTGTTAGTGGGTGTTGCTTCTGGTAACATGTGTTGGTGGTGACTCAGCTGGTGTTAAGTGTTGCAGTAGTGGGTGTTGCTTCTGGTAACATGTGTTGGTGGTGACTCAGCTGGTGTTAGTGGGTGTTGCTTCTGGTAACATGTGTTGGTGGTGACTCTCCATCAAGTAAGGCCGCTGGCTGACTGAGTCTGTTTTAACAACAACAGTAGTGACACTGTCCCTACACTCTCCATGTGCACCAACAACTGGTGGTAGTGGGTGTTGCTTCTGTTAACATGTGTTGGTGGTGTTGCTTCTGGTAACATGTGTTGGTGGTGTTGCTTCTGGTAACATGTGTTGGTGGTGCTTCTGGTAAGTGTGTTAGTGGGTGTTGCTTCTGGTAACATGTGTTGGTGGTGACTCAGCTGGTGTTGCTTCTGGTAACATGTGTTAGTGGGTGTTGCTTCTGGTAACATGTGTTGGTGGTGACTCTCCATCAAGTAAGGCCGCTGGCTGACTGAGTCTGTTTTAACAACAACAGTAGTGACACTGTCCCTACACTCTCCATGTGCACCAACAACTGGTGGTAGTGACACACATTACCCACCAACAGACAGTACTGTACTAGACAGGTAACACGTCTTACTAAAGTACCACGGTTCACCTTGGCTATATATAAGTTAATAAACAACTCACAGTGACCTAGTGAAGTATTAAATCATCCAAGTTTGGATTTTAATTAACACATTTTGGTCGACTTAATGTTTACAACTGAGGCGATGAACACTGTTAATAACTTACCACGAACAACTCAACTTTACCTAATATAAACTAACATCACATAGTTTAAACAATTATTATTTACTGAAAAACAAACTTTACTCTACTACTGATACACTTTTAAATAATTGTATTACATCTACTTATTATTGCATTATAAACAAAACACTAAGTAATATTAAGCCATCATCAGGTAGTTATCGTGACACTAAGTAATAATAAACTATCACCAGGTAGTTATAGTAACACTAATTAATAATTAACTATCATCAGGTAGTTATGTTAGGTATATATTAGTTAGGTGAGGTTAATCAATAAATAAACTAGTTCGTGGTAATATTATAACACTGATCAGCTCCCCTCCCCCCAGTACCAAGGAAAGTACTTTATATACTTTCTTTGGCCGATAATTTTACAAATATATTCATTAGTCTCTGTTACGGTACACCTCGGCTATGAGAATTAGTGGTGTGAGTTTACATTAATTTGCAAGGTTGACTTTTATAAATGAATCAGTGTTTGAGCTGTACTGCCAAGAGGATAAAAGTAAATATTCTTTTATTATTTCATAACTTGATCTGTGTATTATTTTATTGTTTTATGCTCTTATATTGGGTGATAAAAGTGTTTGTATTACACAGTTATTTATTTTTTTACTTTCTTCTTCATAAAACATATAAATGGACAAAAATTACGATGTTATTTACTTAGACTTTAGCAAAGCATTTGACAGAGTACCGCATCAGAGGCTTCTGAGAAAAATTAAGGCTCATGGTATCGAGGGGAAAGTTTTAAATTGGATAAAATCATGGCTCACTGATAGAACGCAGAGGGTCAGTGTAGATGGTGTTAAATCTGAGTGGGGCGTGTAACCAGTGGGGTTCCCCAGGGGTCAGTACTAGGCCCACTCTTGTTCATAATCTACATAAACGATTTAGATACTGGGATCAGCAGTGACATAAGCAAGTTTGCGGTTGACACCAAAATAGGGCGGCAGATTAATTCAGGGCAGGATGCAAATGCATTACAGGAGGATCTAAATAAACTGCAGGGGTGGTCTGAAAAATGGCAAATGAAATTCAACACCAGCAAGTGCAGCGTACTTAATATTGGAAGAACAAATACTTATAATGTATACAGCCTGAACAACATCAACCTAGAGAAGTCGACTTGTGAAAGAGACCAAGGGGTACTTGTAAGCCCGGACCTACGGCCTAGAAAACAGTGCGTTAATGTTCGAAATAAGGCAAACAGAGTATTGGGTTTTATATCTAGAAGTGTAAGTAACAAGAGTGCAGAGGTCTTATTGCAACTATATCTTGCGCTAGTCAGGCCGCACCTCGATTATGCGGTTCAGTTCTGGTGCCCCTATTATAGAATGGATATAAATTCACTAGAGTCGGTGCAGCGAAGAATGACAAAAATGATTCAGGGACTTAGAAACCTTCCATATCAGGATAGGTTAAAGAAACTTAACTTGCATTCCCTAGAAAGACGAAGAGTGCGGGGAGATATGATAGAAGTATTTAAGTGGGTGAAAGGAATCAATAAAGGGGATATAGATAAAGTTCTTATAATATCCGAGCAGGATAGGACTCGGAGCAACGGATTCAAGTTGGATAAGTTTAGGTTTAGGAGGGAGATAGGAAGAAACTGGTTCACAAATAGGGTGGTGGACGAGTGGAACAAGCTTAGCAACTTTGTAGTAAGTGCGGGAACTCTGGAAAGTTTCAAAAGGAGGCTGGATAGATTCATGGATGATAGAGCGTGGTAGTAACTCTCGACAGGAGCTGCCATGCACAGGCCAACCGGCCTATTGCAGACTCCTTATTTTCTTATGTTATGTTCTTATGTCACCACTGCTCTACCCGTTTCGTCACTGCGTTCATTCCCATCATTATATACAGGAAAGTAACTGTTGCTTGGGATAGAAAATAACAACAACACAAAGATAATTTATTAAAGACTAAAATAAAACCTAAAACATTGTTAATACGCCTACAATCATCTCACTGCTGGATGGTTTATGCGCTGGTGCCAAATCACCTTTATTTTTTTCTGTGTTTTGTTTATTTACCAAATGTTTTAATAGTTTTCTTTATTAAATAATTAATGTTCATGTATAATAACACAATACTTCTTGAGTCGTCTGTATACATGTGTCATATTGAGTCAACTAACTTCCTCTAGAGAGGATGTACTTTATCATCCAAAGTTTCAGTGCCAGGAGAGTTGTTCCTCACTTATGATGACGTCTTCTGTTTAGGGGGAGGGATGAGCTCAGGTGTCCGGAAAGAAAGTCACAATTGGGGTTAGAAAAAGTCAGGGATATAAACACATCTTTTAAACAGCCTAAATAATGTTAAGTTAGGTTAAGGTTTGTGACTTTTTTCCTACATTCTGGGATGATGACACATCATGGTGTACTGCGCACATCATTGTCATTCCTAAAACCCCATTTAATTCATATTACACTATATAACATTCAAATCCACCGCGCTGGTAGAGCCTCAGAAAACGGGAAACATTGATAAAGGACAACTCACCTACTCAATGTTCCTAGACCTTGTGTTGTATTGTTCCCAGGTACAGTTATATCATATTAAGTGTATGTATTCATAGCATTAAGGATAACTCAGGGTATACAGAAGATGAATGTTAAAGTCCAGTTGAGCCGGACTAGTGTACTGTAGGACTAAGTGTGGATCAGGATTTGAAGGTCATAATATTTACGTCTGTGAGCGTGTAGCGAACATAACTTCCACAGATATCATATGAAAATACATGAGAACCATGATCTGGAAAAAGGATAAATGTATCAGAACTATGTGAGGTGTTGGAAGTGACCCAGAAACTATACTTGAAAGGAAATATCTTATATGCGTCGGTATGAACTTAATACACCTCGTATCCTCACGTGACATATACCCACGACAGGTACAGTGATCAGAGAATCTTATGTCTGTGTTCAAATAGTGCAATGTGTGAGAGGAGGACCCCTCATTACAGTTTTAAGTGAAGTTGATAGACCCCCGCCATGAACATTCAGCCTTTGTTTTAAGGCGCGTCATGTACCCGCCTCGGGTGTGCCGCGTTGATATTATAACCCAATGAATTTACCCACGAACTAGCAAACCAAGACCTTACCTTAATGGGGAATTTAGGATTAAAATATGTGTTTATAAGGCATGAGTGACAATATACCGGAAAGTGTTCAGGTGAGAACCATAAGAAATAAAAGTAAAAATTAAAGATTGGAAACTGTAGGCCTACGCGGTGAGGAGCGGCGGGGCACTGCCCTCAGTACCCTCCGTTCTACCGTCATCTCAGGTCAGTGTCCTATCGGGCTATATCCCGCCCTATAATTAAGGTTTATATAGAAGTTATTACAGTTTAAAGCTTTGCCTGATATATAAGTGTAATAGTAATGTGTTAGGGGGTGTGATAACCGCCCGTCAGGCATTATTTCTCAGTACTCTCCGTTCTACCGTCACCTCAGGTTCCATGCCGTCGGTGTGCCTTGCTGCCCGGCAGCCATTATCCCTATGAGCGTCCCAACAGGTGGTGACTACTCCCCACTATGCCAATCCACTGTGAATCTGTGGATTTCCAGCACACCACTCCAAATGAGTAGTAACAAATGAGGAGACCGTGAGAAACTCTGCTGTCGTCACTGGGAGCGACCTATAATACCAGGCGTAGAAGTAGTACTGGTATGTCTCTGGGTGAAGCCCTCGTCTTTACCCACCGAGAGCGGTGTGCGAACGAGGTGCCTGTTGTGTATACCTGAAAGTTACAAGGAGTCCCATACTTGCAGGTATGGAGTGTAACATGTGTGTTGAGATGGTGCTACTGTAACAGGCCGAGTTTTCTCTTTTCAATAATTTACCATCCAGCTACTGTTCTCTGTTAGTATTCTATTTACTCATATACTTATTTGTTCTGTGTAGCATTCCTCCAATGAGTACCCTGTTTAATATACTTATTCTCCTTCCATTCTTTACATATATATTTATTCTTATATGTTCTTACTTATATTCTTATATGTTCTTTACCTCGATATACCTTATATTCTCATATATTCTTATATAAGTAACTCTTATGCTTCTCTACTTATTTTTTCCAAGTCAAGGTTCTTTCTTTTCATTTCCTTTCATATATAGATTGTGTTCTCAGTTTCAATGTTCTTACCTTTCTGAAGTATACTTTGTTTATGTCTTTCTTATACATGGGTTAGTCTGGGGAACCATGTTATTCTTTGTATAACACTTTTTATACTTACAAGGGGTAGCTGCCACCACCCAGACTTTTCATTAGAGAACAGAACTCATGGAAAGTTGTTGGGTAGTGTGGTAGATGTCTAGGCACGTGAGTAAGTATTATTTTCTGGGAACTAATGTTTAGAAGGAGTAGAGTGGTGATACTCAGATTACTAACTCAATATTTATTAATACAGTGAGTGGAGAAGATGCATCTTAGATTCACTCAGGCTAAACAGAACCGAAATTAACTTATTAAGTCATCCAACACTTCAAGAACTTATTACCTCATTAAACACCTCCAAATATTCATTACTCTATTGGATACTGTTGTAGTATTTCTGTGACAAGTAAGATTTAGAAATGCTTACACACTGTCAATAACCCTGGACCCGCAGGTCTTACTTTAACAAGGAACAAATTACCTTCTCAATTCGTGGTTAGACCATCATACTCTCAGGTTATTCGTTCATGATTACTACAGATGAATACATAACACATTGGACTAACTCCACACTTATAGTAACATACAATACCTCCTGTTAGTTTGCAAGGAACAACCTGGTGCCTTGAACTCTCATTCAGGGGTTCAATACTTAACCTGGGATGACTATATTTCTGCTAGTCATCCCTAAGCATGGATATTAATACGGCTCCATACATATAACCAAGAACAGTGGGTAGACCATGATCATATGACGGAGTCAGTGGGCCAGAGTTGTTTACAGGCTCGCTCGCTAGCTCGGAGCGCCTGGCCCGGGAAA